AGATAATATTATGAAAAGGATTGCTAGATAGAGATGTATACTCATATCTTTTAGATGTGGACTTATTCTTGTACGTGTCTATGTTGCAAACATCCCAAATTACTTGCTCTCATTCCTAAAATGTCCTATGCAGGTGATAGAGATGATAAACACTCAAATGTATCATTTCCTTTGGAATGACTCTGAATGGTAGAGGAAATTGCACCTATAAATTAGAGTGTCTTGTATGTATGAAAAAAATAATTAGGAAGTTTGGGTGTTCCAAATTTGCAAGATGACAATATGTGTCGGTTGGGTTCTTGGGTTAAGATATACACTATGTGGGAAGAAAAAGATTGGAAATTATTACAGACCACAAATACAACACTACCCGAACTATTTTTTTGCACCTCCCCCATTTACTCCAGGTTTTGGAAGGGGTTATGTCCATAGTGAAAGCTATTTAATTTGGTTTTAGGTTGAAAATTGATAATGGTGCTCAAACCAGATTCTAGGAAGTCACCTGGTTTGGCATCTCCCTTTTGGCTATCCAATTTGGGATACTCTATGTTATTTGCAATGAGACTTTAAAAGCATTAGTAATATTTGGTATGGTCGTTAGCTTGAGCTTGCTTTCAGAAGGAATTTCGATAGTTGGTTTATGGATCAATGGTACCAGTCAGTAGAAATGGCAAAAAGCTTAGAGCTTTCGCATGACTTAGACTCTCTCATTTGTCTATTAGAGAACAAAAGGCAACATTCTACTAGCCCCCTGTACCATTTGATTAAGTTTAGAGGGCGTCCAATTTAGGTATATTCATGTTGTTTGGACCCCTAGGGTTCATCCATTTTTTATTTTCATCTTGCTTTTCTGACAGAACAAAATATTGCTATAGATAACTTGAGGAAAAGTGACATCATAAAACCCTTAAACTGTGTCTTTTGCTATGGGGATGAATCCATTCAACTCATGTTTAATTGTGTAGTAGCCAAAAAAACATTTGGCCTCTTATTAGGGAACATTTTGGTGTGTAGTTGATTTTGAGTATATATCTATAGCTAGGTTCTGGGTTTCTAATGATAGGAATTCGGCCATTAATTATGTTTGATCTACTATTATATGATGTATATGGAAGTTTAGGAACTCCATGTTTTTTAATAACATCTTGTGGCTATCTATCAAACATGTATGGTGGAATACCCTAAAAAAGTCAGGTACTGGTTGGTTCTGTCCGCAGAATTGAGCAAAGGGAAATTTGAGGAGTTCACTGGTTTCATGAAAAAAAATCTCCTATAGAAACCATTGGAAGTTAGTTGTAGTTGATAGATGAAGGGCTAGTTCGTTTGTTGGCTTCTAGAATAAGCTGCCCTTACCCAGCTTATTCTAGAAGCCCAACCAACTTTATTTTTTTAGAAGCCAACTAATTAAGACTTGTAAAAATACATTTTCGGTTGAGCTTCGAGAATAAGCTGGGTAGTGGCAATTTTTTCAAGAAGCCCAAAAAAGCCATCAAAAGAACTTGCTCGAAGCTCTTCGGCTACCTCAATCTCTTCTACCTCAGGGCATCGATATCTGGAACAAGATCAAGATCTTGGGACAATAACTGTCCTAATTTCATTCTCAAGAGAAGCCTAGAGTTTGGACGAAGAGTACTAACCTGAGCCCAGTCTGTCAGTTGGATATCTTGGTGGTCTCCACAACCAACGGTTGCACACCCAATGAAGGCCAGACGTGCTTTTTTCGAAGTTCAGGCTTGACGTTTACAAGATGAGTTGGAGATTCAGAACAATCATGGTTAATACGCATGCATGCATTTTTACCAGGAAGGAGTGATCAATGATCTTCTCCTTAGTTTGATGTATTTCTTTTTTCTGTTGCACTTTGCTCTCTAGTTTTTTAGTTATTTTCTTCTGAACTGCTTTTGGAGTTATTGTATGGATGTTGGTTCAGTTCTTAGCAATGGAACTGGGGATGGACTCCCTTTTTACCTAAAAAATAGTTGTGTTTTGCGGAGTGCCACAGTTTTGCCGAGTTTTTTCTTCATTTGTATCACAATCATCGAAGAGGCAATTTTTCCGAGTGCTTTGATTTTGCTGAGTATTTTCCTTCATCACTTGGTTTAGGTAGTTGTTTTCTGAGTGGCCGGCATATTGTACTCAGTAAACCGGTGTTCACTCTGTAAAAACCCATCTTCCGGTAGTAACTACTTGTAACAAGTGTACAATTGAACATGTATTATTCCCCAACAGACCTACTGACTACTTGTCCAAATTGGTTGTCATTCTTCAGTGAGCAGTGATATACGGACGATAGGTTTTTAGCCGATTCTTGAACGATGGATCAAGTCATCCATTACATTGCATCATTCTGCAAATCGGCACCGTACAAGATGGACTCTAACGCCCACACCAGATATGGACCGAATTGTCTCACGACGTTCTGAACCCAGCTCACGTACCGCATTAATGGGCAAACAGCCCAACCCTTGGAACCACCTACATCTCCAGGTGGCGAAGAGCCAACATCGAGGTGCCAAACCTTCCGTCGATGCGGACTATTGGGGAAGATCAGCCTGTTATCCCTAGAGTAACTTTTATCCATTGAGCGACGGCCCATTGTTTCGATTTTGTCCATGCACTGTCGTGTGCAGAGCAATTTCGTTCTTTAGTGAAGCTTGCTTGCTAGTGCCAAGGACGTCGACCCTATGGACTTCATAATTTCGACGACTCACGGCACCGACCCCCTGCTGCCTCCGGCCAACTAGTCTAGACCTTTGCCGCATTACGCTAGGTGCTACGTTCTTCAAAGCTGTCCTGGTGGCACTGTCTTTTTATGTTTTTGTTTCTGAAGAGTTAAATACACTAGGAGTGCCTCAAGTTGTTCAGAGCGGTCATTTTGATGCCTAAAGTTGTAAAGTACGTGAAACTGGTGCTATAACTTATCCTGCCGTGCATATATGGTGCCTTTGTATGTAGCTGGGCGTACGCCCTGCCCGTGTGGCATACCAATCTGTTGTTGGCCCGCATGTCAATGGCTGGAAGTCGGCAAGGCACCGAGTAAGCTCACATGGTTGTTCTTTTGCAGAAAACTCCTTAAAATAATTTAATTACACAAAAGGCACTTGCTCTAAAATAATCAAGAAAATCATATGTGACTGCTCAGCCCTCATGTCAACATGTGGGATGGAATAATAAAAAGAAAAAGGGCAAGCCAACAGATATTGTCGAACAAAGCAGCTGAGGGCATAGAAAGTGCACATTAGCCACTACAACAAGCGCAGCTACATGTTCATGACGTGATGTGAATCTATTTATAAAGAAAAAATTAAGATGCGCGAATTCCAAACAAGGAGCTCAGGTGTGACTAGGTTTTTTTTTGGCAACCGGAAATTCCACTAGCCCCTTCTGACCTTTTTATTAAAAAACAGATAACTGTTGTTTGGCTGCTTTAGAGGTTCAAATTTATATGTTTTGGCAATGCATATTTTAACTTCAGAAATCATTTGAACAACTTCGAACGAAAAAAAATAAAAAATTCTGAGATTCCGCAGTTACCGGTTTTACCGCCACCATCAGATAAAAAAATCAACTCCTGTGTTCGAATCCCTGTGACTCAATTTTTCCTTTTGTAATTCTCTTTCTTATTTCGTCCGGTAACCATATTATAAATAGGGTCATATCTCCATATTTAACATACAACTGTGCCTGGCGTACTGGCTAACATTCCACTACGCGTTGTGAGTTAGTTACGGGTTTCAAATCCCTCGTCTCTTTTACTTCTTATTATTATGTTCCATCATACGTATCGACATGTGGGCCCATACCCGACACACATAAGTATTTGAAAAAAATTCTACATAATTAAATAAAATTTGTGGGGCTTTTTTATGAGATTTAATTAATGTTCTGGGTGTTTTCTATAAAAAACCATGTGTGCAGCACACACATTGCAGCCTTGGTTAACATTGCACACACACATTGCGGCCTTGGTTAACACCCACAGACATGTGTGCCACCAGCCAGCAGGCATGCCAAATATGCAGCTCATACGCACGCATATGTACAAAGGCACCGTATTTAAACGCTCGGACAAGTTATAGCATCTGTTTTATGTATTTTATAATTTTAGGCACCAAAGTGACCATAACAAACAAGTTAAGGCACCCATGGTATATTTAACTCGTTGGTGATATTTGTCTTTATTTACAAAGTTGAGCAGACCTGCTACGTGCCAAAGCCTCCACCTCCAACCTGTCGTGCCCTCGTGATTTGCTGCAGTACATCCCCCGGTGTGTGCCATGACAGCACACCCCACAACTAAAGCCCGATCGATATAAGCAAATGTAAGAGTATCAGATGATATCTAGCCTTAGGCTATCCGGTGGTACGAGCTCCGGCGAGCTGTTGGATCTGAAATCCAAGGGTCACATGATATTTTCCCAGCAAATGTGGTGCTCCAGTAAGTCTACTTGGTACTAATCTGCACACATGACAACATTCAACAGCTCTCGGTTTCGTTCCATGCGCCTGCACTGTTTTTGTTTGTTCCCAACGTCCTGGTCACAACCAGATCAAGGTTAAGCCCCCTTGAATCTCGCAGGAAGGCGTGCCCACCATCTCAAACGGCTCGCTCCTGTCGCTCGATCGGGGATTGGTCGCCAGGTCTCGATCCCTGCCAGCCCGTGGGCCGCAAAACAGTAGCAGAATTCAGGTGATCGAAAACGACATTGACGATAATTGAAACTGCCAGCGTACGTAGACGGGCCTCTGGCTAATTAAAAACGGGGAGATTCCATTCCATTCTCAGGTTGTGTCTGCCCATTTCTGCGTGACCGGAACGTTGGCCACGCCAAAACTAGTACTGTAGTGGAGTAGCTACTTGCTAGGTGGTGCCGAGGAATTATTGTCGCTTGGGTTTGTTGCTTCGGTGACCGCTTCCAAGTTGGGCCTGTGGACGTGGATGTATAAGCAAGCGCAAGGGAAGCAATCATATTCTAAATCTAGTAGAATAACACTAAGGGATGGATCCGCTTGACGAGGAGTCCTTCTTGGACGAGCTCATGCCGCTTCAACGGGAGGAGGCGCCGGCGCTGACTTACCAGGGCAGCAACGGCATGATGACGATCAGCGACCTCCTCTTCTACGGCGGCGAGGCCTGCACTGCCGAGGAGAGCAGTAGCGTGGGCTTTGTCTGGCCATTTCAGCAGCCCATGCCGCCCTCGCCACCGGCCGCGCGTCCGCACCCGCCGAACCAGGAGTTCAACTTTAACTACCTGAGCGAAGTGTGCAACCCCTGGAGGAGCTACATCCCTGACCCTCCTGCGGTCGTCCAGGCTGCTGCCGGCAAGGGGCCGCTCACTCTTCCCCTCCATGACGCTCTTGCGAGCTCGTCAACGTTCGTGTTCGGGGGAGGGGACGGGGAGAGCTTGGGGATGAGAAGCATGCCGGCCTTCGGCACCCACCCAGAGAGCAAGCTCAACGCCGGAAGCGGAACTCCGTCAAAGAACCTCATGGCGGAAAGGCGGCGCCGGAAGCGGCTCAACGACCGCCTTTCCATGCTCCGCTCCACCGTGCCCAAGATTAGCAAGGTGTGCTGCCGCATCGCCCTTAACTTTTGTATATCGAGTTATCTGCGACTGCGAGTTGTGGACCTTCATTAATTAGCTTGTTTAGATCTAATTAACCGATCGATCGAACTGCAGATGGATAGGGCTGCGACCCTTGGGGACACCATAGACTACATCAAGGAACTGACCGGGCGGATTAAAACCATGGAGGAGTAGATTGGCGCCACGCCCGAGGAGCTGAACCTGCTCAAAAATTTCTCCAGCGGTGGCAATGAGGAGACGCCGACGAGGAGTTCCACCAAGGTATGTGCAAACGTCGAGAACCGAGGCGGAGGCGACACGAAGATTGAGATCTTCTGCTCGACAAACCCCGGAGCGCTGATCGCGACGGTGACCGCGCTGGACGTGCTGGGGTTGGAGATCAAGCAGTGCGTCGTGAGTTGCTTCAGTGACTTCGCCATGCAGGCCTCGTGCTCACAAGTAAGTAAACTCATTCTGAAATAGTACCCATCTCTAAGTTTTCCTTCATTGCATGCTAATGAAATTCGATTGCCAATGTCCATTCACGGCGTGCCCGGAGTGTAGGCGGAAGGGAAGAGGCAGGTGATAAGCACAGACGAGATCAAGCAGGCATTGTTGAGGAGCGTAGGCTACGGGGGAAGGTGTCTATAAGCTATAGCTAGCTAGAGATACAAGCGGTTTGTAATCTCGATGAATACGTGCTACATTTGCATTTTTTTTACATGACTTTGTGGGGGCAATGTCTGTATGAATTAATGTAGGAGTTTTTTGGGAATATCTTCGATGAGTATTTGTTGTCACCGGATTGTCTTCTTTGTGTGTGTGAGATGCATGAATGATTGATTGGAGTGGATACCCATTGTTGGAGTGTTAATTTGGTTGGGCACTCTGAGGCCCGGTGTTACTCACAATGCTTTGTATCGCTTGATGCTACATTTGAGATAATAAAGTCGCCCTTTATCGAAAGAAAAAAAACTCTTACAGCTTCTTGTTTCTTCTGTTAGTTTAGCTGTTTCTGGACATGAATGGTTGTCATGTTTTCTCCCACGCTTCATAAACTTGATAGGATTCTCATGTCTGATAGTTAGGAGGACCTATTTCCTATAGTTTCTGTTAGGAAATTAGTGCGTGAAATTTCTTACCATAACCCTCTATGACTTTCGTCCGGGGATGAAGGAAGAGAGGCACCTAAAACCCGTGAATTCCGTTTTGACATGTCTTCTGTTACAAACGATGAATTCCAAGGGCTAGTCGATAAGATCTGGAATAGGACTGTGCAGGCCTCAGATCCTATAGACGGCTTCACAAGCTCTCCTCCAAATCTTTTAGAAGGTATTTTTCACATCCATAATGCATGTACCACTATTGTAGAGAATTGTAACATGTTCGTGAAATGCCACACAAAGGAGTTAGATCTTCGATGTTCTTAGATGTACTTGTACAAACATGCAGTTTGGTGTCATTCGATGTACAATCAGATGGTTGTGTTTGATTTGCAGGACTTAATATGAGTGCCAATGTTTTGACGAAACAATGAGTCATTTCCGTTTTGCCGAATTCCTGATACTCAACATGCCATACTTTTAGCAAAGCTCATGCCAAAATTTTCGGTGGAGGTATTGTATTTCATGTATTTTCACAACTCATGTTTACAAGAGTTATTTGTGGAGTTCGATTGTACAACCACAAATTTCTGTGTTGATTTGCAGTATTTAATATGAGTCACTAGTAGAAAAACGATCAAATGTTCAACTCATTAGTTCCGTTTGTAAATGAACCGGCACTAATATGATCATTAATCCCGGTTCGAACGACTATGCATTAGTCCCAGTTTATTTGTGACCTGTAGTCCCGATTTCTGTCACAAACCGGAACTAAAGGGGTGGTGGCAGGCTGGCGTCAAGCCGAGGCCCCATGAGCCCCTTTAGTCCCGGTTTGTGACAAAACCGGGACTAAAGGGCCAACCAGGGGCGCGAGCAGGGGCCAGGCCCGTGCCAATCGCTCGCCCCCCTAAACAAATTTTAGCATGACCTATACTGTGCATTGCTAATGGCCGCAACTAATTACTCCATCATTAGCCCAATAGCCCATAGATATGTACGTGACTGGCTATTGTTTGGCCTGCAGAAAATCAGATCGATCCGGTCGGTTGATCAATTTTCCTGGAACGCTTAAGGCATTTATCGCGGTGGCCGGCCGCCGCTCAGTGCCATCCGTCGCTAGTGCGTGTCCTGCTAGTGCATTTATGATTGCTGCGGCAGCCATCCGCTGGCCGCCATGACGACGACTCCCTGTCTGTTGTACATGCATGCAGATCAGATCATCAGAATACAGCTAGAAGTCGCGAGCCAGATGACCAGGATTGAATATATTTGCAGCAGGTAACACTACGCACCCATATGTATTAATAATTATCCTGTTTTCATGAACTGTGATCTTAGTCTGGTTAATTAGCATATACTATAGTATCTTGTGCATTTTCAATCCACGACATGACTTATTTGTGTGACCTTTCTGCTCTTTAATAGATGACATGTTTGTGCGTATTCTAAAAAAATGACTTATTTGATGTGTCTAATACATGCACAATGATGGATTTTTCTTGTCATATAGTCTTTTCTAGTCAAGAACGGACTCAACTAGAGTATCAACTTGCCCATTTCTAGCTGGATGTTTGCAACCATTTAAAGCTAAAAATCTCGTCTTAGGTTGACGATTTGACCGTTGGATAGTTTTAAACAAGTAAAACTACGTACGACATACTAACTTGTTGATAGATTACTATGGTTGGTCATAAATCTTCTAGTGTAGGCCGCGACAACCGAACGAACTTCTTCGCCTAGTCAACACACGTTTTTGAAACAAAATGATTTTCTTCGACATTGCATGATCTTCTATAATGGTAAGGAACATACCGGAGTTCACGTTATCAATTTGTTCAACATTGGTGGTTGTAGAGGTCAGTTTAAGTTAATAGAAATGTACCATTCTCCACTAAAAAATGTAGTATTCTTTTGTAGTTTCAAACAAATATTTTATGATTTGTCATCATTGCTACCGTGAGTCTTAAAATATTGTGATATTCCATGAATTTTGTGAATGTCGGCTTTGCGCCCCCCTCGTGTCCAAATCCTGGCTCCACCCCTGGGGCCAACCTATAGTCCCGGTTTGTATCACAAACCGGGAATAGAGGGGTCTAACCTTTAGTCCCGGTTGGAGACACAAACCGGGACTAAAGGGCAATTTTCAAACTCTACCCCCCCCCCCCTCGGTATCGCTTTTCAGTTTTGAAAAAAAAAGAAAATGGTAAAAACTTCAAAAATTAAAATCCTTCAATATGTTACTACATCTAGTAGTTAGGGAAATTTAAAATCATAAATTTCGACATCATATCTTTTGCATACGATGTCGAAAAAAACGCATAATATATCAAAAAGTTCAACACGAAAATCCGCAGCCGAATTCAACGGCCGTAGGCTATTTTGCAAATATTTAGAATCCTCAAATTCTTAAAGGAAAAAAAAGCTATGCTCAAATTTCAGTGTTTTTGAAATTTGGTTAAATCTGGTTAAACTGTGGTTAAACTACTTATTCAAGAAATATTAGTGTTACTAAATAATTATTTTAGTTTTTTTTGAATTTTGGTTAAACTGTAGTCAAACTATGGTCAAATCTGGTCAAATTGTAGTCAAACTATGGTCAAACTACTTATTCAAGGAATATTAGTGTTACTAAATAATTATTGTTTTTTAGAATAATAGTTTCAAATTCAAATGGTGAAACGTGGGACTTCATGCTGAAGCTAAACTCCTGAGGGTTAATAGGATTGACAGCTTACTATTGATAGGTAAACAACAAGTGCAGACTTGGAAACTAGGGGGAATAGTACTCGAAAGTTAAGCGTGCCCAGGCTAGAGTAGTGAGAGGAGTGTTGACCAGCCGGGAAGTTAGACGATTTGGAATAAGTGGTCCACACTTGAGCAATGATGCGGGATGATTAGGGATTAAATTGTCAAATAATTCAGAAATTTGAAAATCAGAAAAAAATCAATTTTTTTTGAAAAAATCAAAAGAAAATTCAAAAAGAAAACCTTTAGTCCCGGTTGGTGTTACCAATCGGGACTAAAGGTCCCCCAGCCTCCGGCGCGGGCTCGTGCCACGTGGTGGGCCTTTTGTCCCGGGTCATGTTGAACCGGGACTTAAGGGGGGGACCTTTAGTCCCCACCCTTTAGTGCCGTTTACAGAACTGGGACTAAACGTCCTTTACGAACCGGGACTAAAGTTCGTTTTTCTACTAGTGAGTGTCAATGTTTTGACAAAACATTGAGTCATTTCCATTTCCAAAATTTACCAAAAAAATTGCCAGGTAACCACCGTCTGGCCCTGGTAGTTACAAAGCTGCTGAACCCAAGTGGGAGAAGGAGGCCGGGGATTTAATAGCCGCACGTAAACCGCCTCCGTTCTCAAAACATTGAGATCCTGCTCGTGACTTTTGTATTCTCTGGGCCCGTGCAGTGCAAGACACAAACAGTAAGGAGTTGGTCCTCCCGACGGAGGAACTTTGCTCCACGGAGGAGAACTTGGTAACATCAATCACCATTAATAATTTAGTCCCCACAACTTATTTATTACATACCTTAATAATCATTTACCAAAACACATGTATTTTTTCTAGAGAAAAATAAAGCAGGAATTTGGACCTCGCCCTCATGAATCTCCCCACGGCTATAGGTATGATGACCCTCTTAGCCGAACAGTGAAAGAGGGTTTCGGGGTTAACAGGGAGCCCAAGACTAGGCATGTGTTGGGCAGGGATACGATGTTGCAGGACGATGCCTACCCCGAAACCAAAGAACTAAAAAAATACAGAATAGTACATAAGCAAAACTAAGTTAGATGTAGTAGTAGACGCAGCACTCAAGAAGAGATTAGTAGAAATTTTTCCGCACGACATGCCAAGTCCTACCCAGCAGGATACACCTAGGATCACCCAACAGCCATGAGCATCCAACTTTATTCCATGCTGACTGCAAGCCAACATGGATGGGGTGAAGACAAGGGTTGCCAAGGGGCAAATCTCCCCGTTTACCAATGGTAGCAGAATGATGCACGTGGTCATCCTGGCACTTGATATGACGAGGGTGCAGATGTAGGAGGTAGTGACGGGGCTCGAATTTTGGTCGTTGCCTCATCCCCCTGAAGAGGGCATCACAATGTTAGGGCAAGTGACCCAGAGCCACCTGCTTAAGTGGCCGATAAATGATATAGATGAGGTTCCCCACGCATATGCCAATTTTAGAGGCGTAGTGCCAGATATTCCGCATTCAGGGGAGAAGAATGCACATGACAGTTGCAGACCATCCGCACACAAACCACCTATGCATGTTGTCATCCACAAAGGGCAGAAAAAGATATGTATAAGCCCGGGGAACCGCTTCTATAGGACTCTCTTGATTGATCTTCAAGTTCAACACGCCCATGTCGTAGATAAATCAAAACAAGGTCAACATGGATACACGGCCAAGGTTATAGAAGGTTATAGTTTTGTCTAGGAGTTTCCGGCAGACAGAACTGATCTGGCATTTAATGAGGTCATCCATGCAAATATCTTCTCTGCTAGTGTAGTCTCCCCAGAGTTAATGAGGCTTTGG